GCGCTCTCTCTCTCTCTCTCTCTCTCTCTCTCTCTCTCTCTCTCTGTGTGTGTGTGTGTGTGTGTGTGTGTGTGTATTTTATCTAGAGAATAGATTACAATAAAAGATCATTAATTCTTTCCAGGAAAATGCAGGCAGTCATAGCAATAACCTCTAACCTCCTAACTTGTGATGTGCATTTTCCCTGTTCTCTCTATGCTCTCTCGGATGAGCACCCTACCTAGGTGAAGCCATTTTGGGGAGATAAAGCAGTAACGTAGCGTGTTCATAAAACCTAAACTCCTGCTGTTAGTCCCTACATTCTTAGCTTAAAATTTAAAATACGGAGATTAGGGTTACACATCAGAAACAGATACCTCCTCTGTCTTTGAGGCACTTTTTAAAATGTAGATAACTGGGGAACCCTGAAGTCAGAGGCCCCCAGCTTCACTGGCAGTGACATCAGCACAACTGTGGCCTTTTATGCTCTCAAGGCACCAGCTTCTGCTTAGACTCAGAGATAGAGCGTCCTTCAACAACCCTGAAATCAGGAGAAGCAGCCCTTTCATTTTCTTTTGGGCTGGACATTTGTAGAAATTGAAAACCTCTGAAAAAGTGAAAGTCTGTCCAAGGCTCAGTCCTTCTCCGACTTGCAAATCAGTATATGATCCCAGAATAGTCTTATAACAGGTGAAACTGGGTAGGGAATGCATTGTTGTAGGCCCTTTAATTTTGTGAGCTTTCATTTCTTAAATGTTAGCTTCTATTTGGGGATGTTATACAGATTTTTGTTTGATTTAATTTTGAAATCCTAACTCTCTGGCTGCCTTTGGCCAATTCACTGTTCATTAACACCTCCACCAGGGGGCAGGAAATAGAATTTGAATCCTTGCCAGCTACTCTGATTAAAAAGTTTAGTGAGAAATAAGAATGGAATGCGAGCATGTTAAATCTCTGGGTTTCATATATTTAAAGTCTTTATCCATTATTAAGAGTTAGCTCTGGGTATAACATTAGTAAACACTTATAATTTCTTTTAAACATCGGTATTGCTTTCTCCTTCTGAAAATGTGACTTCAAAAACATTCACCTTCTATACTGATTACCTGTGAATTTTACCTAGAAGTTTTCTTTGATAGCAAAATGATTCAGATAAATATCTTGGACTAACATAGTAAACAATAGGCTTTTAGGTACCATATTCTCTACAAAGACTAAAAATAACTATAAATGTTAAAGTTTATAGGGCTTCAAGACAAGTGTATTTATGTAGTAATTAAATAAGAAGTTGATTTTTTTTCTTCAGTAGTGACTTAAGATTTATAGTGGTATTCTGCAAGCAGACTCTCTGGGAAGAGATGCAATCATTAAGATTTAAAGTTTCTCTTATTTAATTGCATCTACATTTCTTAAAAAGAAAACATGTACATAACTTATTTTTATCAAAAAAGATTTATCCTCCAATTGTGGACCCATTGTGGTCACTTTATAAGCTCTGATATAGGCAACGGTAGAATAATAACTAAAACTTGAAGTGGTAAATTTTGTTACCTCAGGGCAAGACAGTAAGAAGATTTTCTTTTCTTATTAGTTATCTAATAACTGTTAGGAGGTTGTCTCATGCAACCCCTGTCTGGGTCCTGCCTAAATAAAGCATCCTGTGTGTGCTAACTACCAAGCTTTGGAAGATCCCATTTCTGACCTGAGCATTAGATGGCTGGATTAAGCAGAGTGTTGTAAACTAAGTTTAGCACACGGAGAGAGCAGCATGGCCACATTTATCCACCAATGGGATGCCACCGTGCCACCAGCTTACCCCATCCTGGACACAGAATGATTTTCCAAAAATGTGAGAGCATAATTTAAGGAGCTTTGATCCTTATTTTTTTAAATAGGTTCTCGGGGTCACATTTGAGTTTAAGTAGCAGATATTTCATTCACATTTTACCAGTTTTAGCTTTTAAGAAAAAAAAAAAAAAATCCACTGAATCCGTGTTTCAGTACACTAGAACCAAAGGAAGAGGGAAAAGGTAATAATTTAATAATTAATGACTTACTTCATTGTGGGAATTATATATGTAAAAGTAATGTATGTAGAGATTCAGTGGTGCTTCGATTTGTTCCTTTTTACATATCAGATTATTTAGCTAAAGCTTAAAGCCATGTATGGGACACTTAGTTTATTTAAAACTGGATTGTTTTTTGTT